TATTCCAAAAAAGTTCAGGAGTCAGGACTTGATTCCTTTTTATTACTCTTGTCTCACACACGAATTACAATAAATTACAATTTCATTGAATGTATGCTTAGGCTTAGGCATTTAGCTGAATTTTTAAACAAGCGAATGTTTATTTAAAGTATGAAAAATGAACCAAACAGAGCTAATAAACAAATGTTTGTTAAAAATACAAAGCCAATCGCATAATTGTTATGTAATAATTACATTACTTAAGACACAAAAAGTAATAAAAACTTGGCTCTGCCTGGAGGCAAGAATGTTTTCATAAAGGAATGCCAAGCTTTCTCTTTTTTTTTTTTTTTTTAGTTTTCATATTGTCTTCACCTTTTGACAGAGGGTGGGTGGCCAAAATGGAATCCCGCCTCTGACAGCTCTGAAATGGTGGGGAAAAATGAAAACACACGGTGGAAAATGTGAGGAAAAGTGAAAGAGAAGGTTTCTGCTTTCCTTTTTTTTTTTGGTGAAGGCAAGCAATTTCTGTTTACGCTTTTTAATTTTTGCTTTATTGTGCGCAATTTATGTTCCAACCCGTACGAGCATGTGAATAGCTGGAAAGCGAAGAGCAGCAATTTTATGGGGCACACGTCAGCCTTCACCTTACACCTTTCAACTTTCAACCTTTTAAACCTTGGACCAACCCCTTGGCCCGCCTTGGCCACCTTTTGTTGCAGTTTTTTTGCCATGACTCTTGTTTTTCCTTCTTTTTGGATTTCATTAGATTTCTTTGAATGCGTAGCTTAGGTATTCCGGGGGGAAAACTGAATGGCGGTTAACCCACATTGGAGACCAATAAAAGTAGTAAATCGGTTTTCATAACAAAAGCTATGTGTGACCAAATGTTATCAAGAAAGAGACAAAACTGCAATGTGACCATAGTGGGAGAAAAAAAGAGGAAAACTAAAAAGTTTCTTTGACATCATTTGCAAGGAACGTCGTTTAACTTTTTCAAAACAGAATTTGTGTAAATTGATCGAACAGCTTATCACCCCCCAAAAAAGGGAGGGCCCCATGACCACGCCTACTTCTTATCGCCTCGCACATCCTGCCTGACTCATCAACGACACATGTGCTCTCTAGCCCTTTTGTACAACAGCACAGGCATGCCAACAAACAAAATTGAAACTCACAACAAAAACACAAATTACGACCTATTTTTCGGTTTGCCCGCTACCACGCCGCACCACGCAATAGGGATGAGCGAGTGTTCGCATAAGGAAAGTCTATAAAAATCCACAAATAAAATGTCATTTGCCTGGTACGTGCCTGGCATCTACTTATAAACTAAATTAAGGATAACATTTGAAAAATTTGCACAAAATAAAATCCAGCCAAAAGGATCCAAAGAATAGAATAGAACACACAGGACACGAGTCGCGGACACGATGTCCTGAATGCTTAAGTTGAAAATGTTTCTTACCCCAAAAAAAAAAAAGAAGTACTCACACACACATACATATATATATAATATAATATATAAGAGATGAAGAAAGTAAGAAGAGGGCTTGAATAAAGGCGAAGAAAAGAAATAGAAGCTGAGTGAAATAGAAAATATACACAATAATTTAAATTGCTTTACAATGAAACCCTAAAATGTCAATAGAGCGGCGGGCTATTTGCTTTTCCTATTTATTCCCTTGCCCGCCACCCACTCCCTGGGTCACACACTTTTTAGTATGCAAAGTGCCGTCTTCGCCGCCTCCCCCCCACAACCCTCCGGGACAACACTCCCCTCATAGCCACTTTGTTGGCTTTTTCATTTCATTTGCGAGTGGACGCATTGAAATGAAGTGGATAATGTTGGGTAGAAGGGCGATAACCTTTGCATGAAGGCGCCAAGATCTACAAATCGGCATGTCTAGGAATTTTTTTCCGTCTGAGGCCTTCAAATTTCTAACAGATTTTAGGTTTAATTTAAAAATTTTAAGACTTTTTTGTTTTAAATGCTGAAAGATTTACCTAAAGCCCTTCAAATATGAAAAAACTGTACCAACTGTTTCTGTTTCATTGACTCATTTGGTCACACTTTTCCCAATAATGTGCCCATAGGTCCAAAGAAGTTTGTATTTTATTACCCTTAAAGCCAATTTCAAGGCAGCTTTTTATATAACGACTGTAAAATCAGGTTTCCAAGCATTGATCTTGAAATTACAACATTTATTACGATTTCGTATTTGGGTAATCACCATTTCGCACTCCCTCGAAAACTAAATATCCACTTAAACCCCCAAAAACATGCGTGTTTGGGGAGTGTGAGGAAAATGGGTCTTGACACAGTTTTATTTTTTTTGTATAGCCGTTACTCGTTTTCGTTTCTGTTTGTTTGCTGTAAATCCGAAATCCAATTGAAGAGATGAGAGCGACCGCACAATGTCGGCACGTACACGTTGTGCTAAATATTTCAACACGATTCAACAAACTACTCACTTAGCTGGCTAAAAAGAAAAGTCTCTGGCTCTTTGCTCTGCAAGAAGCTAAAAAGCAGAGCAGAGCAGAGAGCACCGGGCATGACCCGCAAGCATTTGCACTGCATTTAAAAAACATTTGCGGTTTTTACGCTTAATCATCGTCAGCGGGCGGTGGCTTTCATACGGTATGGCCCGGGAGGGGATGGGAAGTGGGTGTTAGGTCCGTGGTGTGTCTCTATATATTCCCAGCCGACATCATTTCCTAGCTTCGGAATTCCCAGCACGCTTGTATATATTAATAAAAATGCATTAGTTCACATTTATTTTCGACATAAAACGTGTAAAAGTAAGCAAGCCAGTCAGCCAGCCAGACAGAAAGACAGAAAGCCAGACAGAGTTAGAAATAAAGTGGTGCTGGTATGGGAAAGAGAGACAGCGCGACAGACAGGCCAAAGGGATCCCGAGGGGCAGCTTGTGGAAGATTTCACTCACCTAGAGACAGCGGAAAAGAGGATGGGGTTCGACCCAGTGGACGATGCCAGCACGGAGAGAAAATATTCACCACAAAGTGATCAGACATTCTTGATCATATTCTTTTTATAAGCTTAAGAGTTGCTTTAAGCAGGCACATCAATGTGACCATGTTAACTTGACAAAGATTTGGTGTGACCATGTCACTTATACATTGGCTTAATGTGACCATGACATCCTTCATTATTTTTGTTTTCTGAGTTATTTGTTTAGTTCTTGATCATTTCTCTCTGTGTGCCCTGCTACTCATTTAAAGCTCGACGACTTTTCCTTTTATTTCAACGCTTGAAAGCAAAATAATGTACACGACAACACCATCCCCTGGTACTCTCACTGTCCACCCACCCCCACAAGACTAACCGAAATCCTGCGATTTCCCCGCAGTAGACAAACCAACCAACCTGTGCACTTTCGCTCTCAGTGTGTATGTGTGTGGTGTCTATGCTGGTCGTAAATTTTAGATATTCGCAGCACGTGCAAATTATGTACAATAATAAAAGGCAACGGCGGAAAGAAGAATAATCCAGAGCGAAAGTAAGACGAGAATGGGCGCGAGCCAGCAACTGTTGGGCGGAACTTGTAGCTTTGCTACAAAACTTGTACGCGGCCGTACATTTCCCATTCTCTACGGTATACGATGGTACGTACGGTACGGTAACTGTCTGTCTGTCTGGGTTGTCTGGCTGACTGACAAGTACATAAAACATGTCTGCGCCTAAAAGTCTGCTGCATTTTCAATGCCCAATGCCCCGTGCTGGATATCGATTATTGTCTCTCGGCTCCTAAAAAGAAAAAGGGGGATGGCAGCAGAAGGCAGACTTTCGCCACCATCACAACGAACTGGCAACAAGTGATGGAAAGTTTATACTTCCTGTATTCAGTTGGGCAAAAGAAAAGCGATAAGAAAAAGAAGGAGATAAGTTCAGCGGTTTGTCGTCTGTTGAGAAGGCTAAAAGGTGACCCAAAACTGCACTTTCAGAGGCAATAAACTTGGGCAATTGCTGGATGATTTCTAAGTGAAATGCTTTTGTGATTTAATAAGTTTACTAAAGGTTGATTGGACGTTTAGACCAGACCCACTTTTAAGGAAACCCAAACTTACTACAAAGCCACCTCTGCTTAGCTAAATGAAAACCCTAAACCAGAAATATAAATAATTGACCAATAAATATTAGCAATTCCATTGCTGTGAATCAAAATAAGGAAAAGTTTTTCGGGTGATTTATTCATGAAGCTGCCTGGATTTATGGCCAAGGAATTTTCTTTTGAGGTGTTTAAAAGTTGACCGCACTTTTTGTTAACCACTTTCGAGCTGAAGATTATTTCCCAGAATGGCCATTTGCTCTAACGTTGAGCTTCCTTCAGGTGCCGACAATCATTGGGACTGGTTTTTTTTTTTGGCAACCAAATTGTGTCCCCGAGGTGGTGTTGCATAATATTTAAACACCCAAGGCGACCCCCACTGATGGTTATCATTAGCAGGAGGAAGAACCACTTCCCTCTCCCCCTTCTCTTGGAGAAACAACTTTTCCCGTAGGCATGTTTTTTTCGCCCCTCTTGGCTTTACTTTATAATTGCTTCAATATTTTGCTCTTCCGCAATTGTCGTGGTGCGGCAGTGTCTTTTTTTTTTGTTTTGCCACACGTTTCACGTTTCTTCAGAGCAGCCATAACAAATTACTTAGGTCATCAATTATGAGGTGAGAGACACTCGCACCTCAAGCTCGCCGACATAGCTCGTGAATGGTTTTGTTTCAGAGTTGTGTTGGATGGATTCTGTTTCTGGTTGTTGGTGATGCTTTTATTGCTTTCATTATGATTTCATGCGGCATGAGGCACGTTCCGGATGGGCTTTTCCCCTGCTGCCCGGAAAATTTCCTAAAATTTCCAACGGTTGACGACCATTTGTCTAACTTCAGGTCTTCTTAGGTATTTTTTGATGCGGTTCGTGGGTGGCTTTTGTTAATAATGTTATCTTTTATTTATAAAGCGTAACTTTTTGGTTTTTCGTTTAAACTTTTTATTTGGTTTTAAGGGGGCGGGGTTAATGTAATTGCTCGCGATGGGTGAATAAAATGAGGCGTAATGGTGGGTTATATGCAACTAATTGGGATAGATTGTAAATATGACTGCAAAAGATATTATGAACTACTTAAAAAATTCAAACAACCAAGAATTATTAATTCACTTTCTATATATTTCAAATAAATTAAACAAATTTTGCTTACAGAGTATTAAAAATAAATAAATGCCCAGAGGCAGGGAGGCTGGCAATGCCACGCATAACAAGATTGAAAAGCTGTTTGGCCAATGGTTTTGGTGGCTCTTTGGCTGCTTATTACCAATGTGGTGCATTTTGGCAATCTTATTAGGGCTTGTAGGTGTAGGCACCGCCGCAGTTCTTGTAGCACAAATAGCTGGGACGAGTGCGCCACTTGCGGCAGTAGCGGCGATAGCAGTTATTGGGACTGGGCGATGGCGGGCGGTTGGTGGGTGGCTGATCGGTGGGTGGCCTGTTGGTGGGTGGTGCATTGGTAGGAGGTTGATTGGTGGGTGGCTGATTGGTAGGTGGTGCGTTTGTGGGTGGTCGGTTGGTAGGAGGCTGATTGGTAGGTGGTTGATTGGTAGGAGGCTGATTGGTGGGAGGCTGATTGGTGGGAGGCTGATTGGTGGGAGGCTGGTTGGTGGGTGGTTCATTGGTGGGTGGTCCATAGGTGGGTGGTATCTCTGTTGGAGGCTCAACAGTGGGTGGCTGAGCAGTGGGTGGTTGTGCAGTGGGAGGTTGAGCTGTGGGTGGTTGAACAGTTGGAGGTTGAGCAGTGGGTGTTTCGGTAGTGGGCGCTACTGTAGTGGTGCTGCCACAATCATTGGCCACAGTGGTGATCAAGTGGCTCAGCAAATCGACAACCAACAGGACACTCAAGTCAACATCGACCAACTGAACCACATCGTTGTTGTTGCCAATGATTTCAGTGTTGGGTCCAGCTAAAAGAGTAAAAAAGAAATACAGATATTAATAAGAGATCATCCCTACATACAGAAGATAATCCAAACTTACAGTTAAGCTGATTGCAGACGCCACCACTTCCGCGGATAATGTTAAGGACATCGAGGAAGGCCAGAACCCACAGGTCAACATTAATCAGCTTCACAATACGATTGTTGTCGCCGATAACCACAGTCTTGGGACCCTCTGCAAAAGTTAAAGATAAAGTTTAGTGTAATATTACCTAAAAAACCAATAACTCTAACTTACTGTTAGCTGAGTTGCCGATCAGTCCACCAACACCAAGTAGATTTGTGATGCTGCTTAATATGGGAATGTCGGCCAGGACCAATCCATTGACATCCACCAAGCGGACGATGTTGTTTCTGTTGCCAACGACTAAGGTTTCAGGACCGCTGCTGGCACTGTTTCCAATTATGGAGGAACCGGAGGATCCACCACCTAAAATATTGGTAATACCGCCAAGAGGGCTGGAGGAACTTGAAGAACCGGAAGAACTGGAAGAGCTGCCTGTAGCACCGCCCAAAAGGCCACCAACTGTATTGGTAACTGTGCCGACTAGACCGCCAACAACGGGCTCTACTGCTCCCAGAACGCCACCAACAACGGGCTCCACTACTCCCAGAACGCCACCAACAACGGGCTCCACTGTGTTCAGAACACCGCCAACAACGGGCTCCACTGTGTTCAGAACACCGCCAACAACGGGCTCCACTGTGTTCAGAACACCGCCAACAGCAGGCACCAAACCGCCAAGAAGACCTCCAAGAAGGCCACTGGAAGATGAACCAGATCCTGAACTTCCTGTAAGGCCACTCAGAGCACTCAAAGGTCCTGAAGATGTCGATGAAGAGGTGCCACTGCCAGAGGATCCACTAGTAGAAGAACCACCAGTGATACTGCTGATCGCCGAAACAGCGGCCAAAACGGGGACATTGGCATCTACAACCTTAGTTACCGTGTTATTATCACCTCTGATAAGTACGCCGGGTTTTTCTAGGAAATACAAAATTAAACTTAATTAGTCATCCTACTAAGTCATCTTCCAAGTTAACTTACGATTGAGATTATTGGCAAAACCAGTTCCAGTTATTTGGCTCAAAACAGGGACATTGGCCAAGACATCAACATTGGCGTCGACGACTTTGGTAACCTCGTTGTTATTACCAATGATATCAACACTGGGATCGACTAAAGAAGAAGTTAGTTGAAGTCATTAGGTTACTTCTATTGGTTAGTTAACTAGAATACTTACTGTTGGCATTATTTCCGACTGAAGATCCTGTAGAGGAGCTGCCTGAAGAAGTACTAGGAGAGGCACTTGAAGAGCCACTTGAGGAGGAGCCACTTGAAGAGCCAGTCGAAGAGCCAGTTGAAGAACCGCTTGTAGAACCACTCGAAGAAGTGGTAGAACCCGTCGAAGAACCCTGATTTATGATACTAAGAACGGGAGCAGCCAGGGAAATAGGCAGTCCGAGATCGAGGAGCTTGAAAAGGAAGTTCTGATTGCCAGTAATGGAATCGCCTTTAACTGGAATAAAGGAATAATATATTAATATATATTTTAAAATATAAAGAAGAAAACTATAAGTTATTACCATTCACATTATTGCCGATTACAGAAGAAGTGAGAGAACTAGGACTGCCTGAAGAATTGGAATTGGTAGTAGAACTAGAAGAGCCACTAGATCCTGATGTTCCAGTTGTGGTAGTTCCAGAAGATCCTGAGCCGCTTGATTGACTCGCTGAAGGGGAGCCAGTAGAACTGCCACTGTTAATAGAAGACAAAATCGGAGCATTTGCTAGGACTGGAATCCTGGCGCCCACTAAGCGATTGAAAGTATTTCCTTGTCCCTTGATCAGTACATCAGAACCCTCTGCGGAAATGAGAAAAATGTGAAATGTTAATAAAAATAACTCAAAACTTTTGAAATATGTGAGGAATACGCACGATTGAGAGTGTTTCCAGTAAAACCAGAACCATCAATGTTACTTATGACAGGCAGGAAAGCGCCAACTGGCACATTGGCATTGATGAGATCGTTAACTGTGTTGGAGTTGCCAATTTCCTCGACGGAAGGAGCCACTATATATATATTATATATAAAAGATATAATCTAAGAAATCCATCAAATGAAAAAATAAGGAAAACTTACAGTTGAAGTTGTTACCCGCGCCGGAGGTACTTCCCGAAGAGCTAGAACCAGAGCCAGTGCCAGAAGAAGTTCCCGAACTGGTTGAACCAGAAGATGTAGATCCCGAACTGGTGGATGGACTCGAGGAGGAAGAGGAACTAGATGGAGTTCCCGAAGAACTAGATGATGAACCTTCATTGTTAATGCTGGACAATATCGGAGCAGTGGCTAGGACAGGAACTTTGGCACCCAATAAGCGATTGAAAGTGTTTCCTTGTCCCTTGACAAGAACATCGGTTCCCTCTGCAAGAAATTACACAAAATATAAGTGTTAATACTAACTAATTAGTAACTAGAGTAAGTTATGCTTACGATTAAGAACGTTGCCGGTAAAACCAGAACCATCAATGGTACTCAGCACAGGCAGATCAGCTCCTACGGGCACGTTGGCACTGATCAGATCATTAACTGTGTTTAAGTTGCCAATTTCCTCGACGGAAGGAGCCACTAAAAATGCAAATTAAATAGTTAATATGTATATCTATCAGGAAGGTAAAGGAAAACTTACAGTTGAAATCATTACCCACTCCTGAGTCCACTGTAGAAATCAAAGAAAAAAGAAGGGTTAAGGGTTATAACCAAGAATGGGAAATCGAATCCAATTTCAACTTACATATAGCTCGCTTTGCGGTGGCCGCTGACTTTTGGCTATCATTGAGGTCTCCACCATTAATGCTATTCAGAGCAGCGGCATTGGCCATTTCAGCGGATGTAGAAGAGGAGACAATGGTGCGATCGAGGGCGGTCATTAGACCCATAAGTACCACCTTGTCCACACCCATGGCCAGCAGGCGAACGATCCAACTTTCCGGGCCAGCAGAGCATAAGCCGCTCGTCTTGCCCTCGGCAATGGTGGACAAACTGTCGAGCAGGGAAACGGAAAGCATGCTAAAAGCATTCACTTGCAGCAAACTGACGCTGTCGGGACCCACTGAAAGGATATGTTATAGTAATCAGCTGAATCAGAGATCGTAGAAAGTAGCTTGATATACTCACTCTCTCTTAAGTTTCTGATGATCTTGTGTGCCTCGTTGCCAGAAGCTCCGCATACTTGCAGCAGGGTATTTAGGATGGAGCTCAGCTCGTTGATGTTGCGTGCCTGCAGGAACTTCAGTACAGTTTGGCGATCGTCTTTGACCACGCCCACGCGACGAGCGGTACGAAGACCTGAACCCTCCGCCTGTTGCTGTTGGTCATCCTGAGAGTTCTTGGCATGCTGTCGCTGACGCAAATGGGTGCTCTTGATCACCTGACCAACTTCTTCTTTGGCACACTCAATGCCATTGAAGAAACACAAAGCCATGAAGGACTTAAGAGTCAAAGTTAGGCTATTCCTATCCAGCGACTGTTCAATATCCTTGATAATCCTGCCACACGTGGCATTATCACGAGCTCCGATCAAAATGTCAATAATCACATCCATGCCAACCTGCAGGAAGACATTGTTGCCCTTGATATCCTTGGTCTCTTCGCTGCGCAACGATTTCATTGTGGACTCCTGGAAGGATGTCAATTTGGCACCACGAGCCTGCATGCTGGCCAAAAGCAAATCAGCCAGATCCTTAGAAGCCAATCGTCCAATATTGGTAACACGTTGTGTCCTCTGCGGTGACGATTCGGTAGTAGTAGACTGATCCTGTTCCGTAGTTCCGTTGCTAGATTCCGTTTCTAGGAGTAATGAGGCCAAAGTGGTTGAGGAAAAGTCGACTGGTGTTCGCTTCGTGGGCTTGGCATCGTGAGGCACCAGGAAACAGGTGGAGAGGAGTAGGAACAAATGAAGGCGCCACATCTCGATGGTTGTTGCCACTAACTTGAGTTGATGGTGATTGATAGATTTCGATGCTCTGCCCAGCTCTTTTATACAACGCTCTTGGCCGCTTATCAACATCGAGACCAACGAGATTATCTCTTTGGTATTCTGTAAAACGTGCCATTCCAACATCAATATCGTTGTCGATATGCTTGGAGAATTCATTCGACATGTTTCGGCGGCTCAGTTTTCTTATCTCTTGCGGTGGGTGAGTGGGTGCAGATCGGTTGGATTTAACTTGAGGAAATTGGGTCTTAAAGCTTTGGCTTTCCAGAGATTAATGATTCCTAGTGATTTGGAACTCTGCGTTGTCGGTTGAGATCTAGTCTAGTTTCTGTAGGTTTTAGTAAGGGAAAAAAGGGTTTAGGGAGATATATTTTGGAAATTGGCATAAGTATCAACTTTGTATTTCATAAGTTGGGGGATTTGTGGAGATATATTATCTGATTCTGTACATATATAGGCCATATATACAAAATAACCCCACAAAATATCCCTCTCTCCTTCCCTAAAATCTATAAAGAAAGAAAGAAACTAAACAGCATTTTGGTTCAATCATAACTTCAACGTAGTTTTCAATACTTTCCATCTTATAAACAGAAAGCTTCACATTTCTTAAGATTAAACCTAAGTTTAAGTTCATTCACCGCATTTACCATTCCATTGACTTGAAAGCAATGATGATTCATATTTATAAGCAAACATCTCTTGAAATGCCTCATAGAATTTCTCACACTTTAGCTTAAAAGTTAGATTAGCCAAAGAAGTGACCCGACCCAGATGGTCGAAAGTTCTAAGAGTTATCTTGCATATTATTCGAGAGTGCGTTGTCACGTAACTGCCCCAAGCTGCCCCCAAAATTTCCGCCTAGAGATACTTAATTAGTATAAATGAAGAAAAACCTGCAGTAAGTTAATGCAGTTAGAACGGCAACTTAGGACAGTTAACTTGAAATGGCAGTCTTAAATCAGGATCAACGTTTTGTGTTCTTGTTGATTATTTCCTTGATAGGAAGTTCTTGTATTTGTGATGTTTCAGAGGCACAAACTTTCACCGCCGAGGATCGTACAGCTATACAGAAGTTTATGGATTCCTTGTTGAATTTCCTGGAAGTGGAAATAAGTAATGGAACGACCACACTGGCACCCACTTCCAATGGAACTAGTTTGGAGACCACAACTTCCAATGGAACTAGTTTGGAGACCACAACTTTGGCATCTGGAAATTCCACAGAATCAAGTACAGAGCTTACGACAGTAGCTAGTAACTCCACTTCGAGTGTTTTGGATAGTTCCACTTCTAGTTTAAGTTCCACTTCCACAACTATTGGTAATGCAAGTAGCACCTCAACCACCGAGACCATTCCCAGCACCACCAGAAGAACTAGGATTTGCTTTAAGAGATTCTGCTACAAGTTCAGTAATGATAAGGGCTATATAGTCTAGTTTAAATAAAGAAATTGATATGAAATCGATACCTTTAATGGGAAATTATTATTATTATTGATAAATAATATCAAACTTTCAAAGTTCTTTCGGCATTTGCAAAATGAAATGAAATCAAATTAATTAGTTATGATGACCCTTTGGGCATTCTTTCACCTTTGGCATTTTGGAATTTGCAAAATTTACCCAAAAAAATTTGTGTAATTGAAAAGGCCATTATTGTTTTTTCTAGGCTGTAAGTCAAAATGCCTGCAGAGAGAAAAGAAAAATATTTGCCATCATGTATGGGAGTGTGTTTGTGCGTATTAAGAAAATGTTTCGCATTTCTGTTCAAAAGTTGAAGTCTCTTTTGGCCGGCCTCCCTCCCCCTAGAGGCCTTAACAAATTATTTCAATTAAAAGTTTTCGGGCAAAGCACTTAATGCCAACACAAGTTGGGGCGTTTATGTGCGCAAATCTTAATTGTGCCAAAAATACAAGCTATAAATTTGTATCTCAACCAGCGAATCTTTCTCTCTCTATATATATATATATACAAATATATGTATATATATCTTCCTTTCTGTCTGACTGTTGGAAAAGACCAACTCAAACTGACAGCGAAAGCCTATTGGCAGAAGCTTTGTGGCTTTTCATTGAGTCGTAAACAAATGAAATTTAATTCGTGCAATGATTTACTTGAATTTGTATTGCAAATAGTTGAATGTGAATAATGTCAACGATGTGCACCGCAGCAGCAGCAGCGGGGGATTTCACCCCCCTTCACATAGATGGGGTGTATAGACACAGGCATATTTGCATCTGTGGGCATCGGTGGTCATAATTACCAAATGAAACGAAGCCGCAAATATGCCTGACTGTTGCCGCCCCCCCTAGAACGTGCTCGATTTTCTAATCAAATGGGTGAAATAATCTCCCATACGATTTCCAATGGGGTTTTCTAAAAATAAAAAGGGGAGCAGAGGGGGCATACAAAGAGAATGCCATGCCAATGGAAAATAACTTCAGTTTAGTTCGACAATGATTTGCTAATCGAAAGCCCATCATTCCGAGAGAGTCTAGAATGACTAAGGAGTACATTTGTAGTGAAAAGTGACGAGAATTGGTACCTTTATTGGATGGATGGTAGTTAATGCTAGGTTGGGAAATACTTGACATTTCAGCTTTTGTTCTTGGAAAATATGTTGGTCTTTAGGGCTTCAGGGTGAAGCTTGATGGACTTTCAAAATGAGAAAGTAGTGCATTTGTTCGCTTTAAGATAATCTGATGTATATTTCTATCAATCAATCCTTTTTTTTATGAAATTTAATATGATATATTTTATGGTTTTTGATATATTTTATAATTTTTAATATATTTTATAATTTTTAATATATTTTAATATTAATAATTATAGAAAATCCTGAAAAATATTACTATAAAAAGCAGTAAACAAACTGAAACTGAGCCATTGGCTTCAACTTTGTGACCCTAAAAAGTGCTGATAAATTAATGGCTTTGTCCATAGCTTCGGGCCCTTGTAGGTGAGAGTGTTGTATGTCTGACTCTGTGAGTGGGTGTGTGGATGTTTGGGCGTTTGGGTGTTTCCTTCGGCTATCCTGTGAACTTTGTTGCTGGCTTCGTGGCGCCACGTGCCAGTGTCATTTAATTACTGACTGACTATATTGTTATTATTATTTACCCTCACATATAAAATATATAGACATACATATATATATATATATGTGCGTGTCAACAACTTAACGAAGTTATCACACACAGTGTGCTGTGCCTGTGAGAGGGGGTGTTGGGTGGAGTCAGAGAGCGGGGTAGACTCACGCACACCATGAAAACGGATTAAGCGACCGCCGCGTGAAGTACTTTAAATTAGTTTCGTTGCATAAACAAGAAGCAACAGCCTCTACCAAATATTGATGGCACTTTGGCTATATAATTTTCTTTATTCTATTACATTATTGCGTATTTTTTTGATTGCCAATTTTTAGTATAAAGATGTAGTATTTTTAATATGTTTTTTGACTCTAACTTTGTGAAAAGACAGCTTAGTCATAGGAAGAATACTGTCAGGTTTCAAGGGAATAAAATGAGAAGCCAAATTATAGATTTTATGGGTAAGGGATAACATTGTCTTTTTTGAGAAAAATGAATAAAATTTAACAATTTTAGGTGTTAATAGAGTTCTGTTAATAATTTTATAAGGAATCCAATGAGATATAGCATTCCAGATTTGGGTTACTATTGGCTTAGTTATAGACATAATACGGTGACTTAAAGTAGGAAAAAAGAAGAAACGGAATTTCGCATTTTGAATAAGGGGTAACCATCGTCTTTTTTTCGAGAAATGGATAAAAATTTGGATTTTTAACTGTGAATGCAGTTTTGTTAGAAATTTAATAAGGAATCCAACGAAGTATGTCATTCTAGTTTGGGGCCAATTTTGGCTTAGTTATGGTCATAATACTGTGACTGAGGAGAGGAAATAAGGAGAAACCAAATTTCCCATTTTCGACAAGCGGTAACATCGTCTTTTTTGAGAACAATTCACCAAATTAAACAATTTTACCTCTGAATTATCATAAAATTGTCAAAAATTAAGGTTGTTTTAGGTTTGAATGCAAATATACTAGGAATTAAAATACAAACTCAAAGAAGTATTAAATTGCATGCTTGAACAATTATTTCCATTGTTACAGCCAAAAATCGGAATATTTTTAACCAAAAAAGATGAAAATTATTTGATTTTTTTCTCCTGTGAAAAATTTGATACTCAAATATATTTTCAGCTTTTTTTTTGGCTACTTTTTCAATTCAATTCAACATCACTTGTTGGTGGATGGGTTAAGGGATGGGCTAGTGGGTGGTTTATATAGATAAATGAATGGTTGGCTGACTGGACGGATAGAGACGTCTGTCCGCAGCTTTAAAGACAATCCACGCGATGAGCTTATCAACCGTCAGCCATCAACAATCAGCCATCAGCCACCAATTCACATTTTCCATTCGTCGTCAACACACTTCCTCCACACAACAGCAGCACTCCCCCTTTGGATTTAGTTTGTTTGTGTCAGTTTCTAGGCGAAAAAACATATCCAATTACAATTTAATTAAGCTGATTTGAATGCGGCGGCTGTGTCACGTTAGTTAAAAGCAAACACACCACGATGCCAAACGGCAACAGATGGAGGCGATATCAGATACCGCAGATGGAACTACAAAACTATAAATGGAAAACCAAACGTATATCTAAATGGAATATCTGCTTGTTTTGTTGCCTGCTTTTGTGCTGTCTCTTCCCTCTGCCCGACCACTAGTTTGCAATTATTCATTGCATACTCGCGGGAGCTAGGTTTGGGAATTTACAGGGAACAGATAGATTGGGTGAGAACAGAATATGTACAGCTTATAAATTGTCAGGTCGAGTAAGATTTTTGCTGTTTTTTTCATTTTTAAAAACTTCTCTCAAAGGTCACGAGTCAGCCCTTTCTTCTTATTGATTTGCATCTATAATGATCGCAATTTTGCCCTATCTATTCTCAGTTAAGTTCTTTAGTAGTTCCTTCCCCATGTATTCTGGCCTCCCCTTTTTTGCGAACCCCTTTAAAGGATTTGCCACGCGCTGCTACGACACTTGACCCACCGAATGACCCTAGTGATTATCGATGAAAGCGTTGTTCTGGTTTGCAATTTCACAGGCTGAGCACGCTCCACGTTTGACCCACTCCAGCGTAAGCTGTTCAACTCCTTTGTTCCACGAGGGGTTGGCATTGTGAGGAGGGGCCAGGGATCCGGGGTGGTGATTGAAGCGACTGTACTTTTGCCACAATTTTGTCGCTCTCGAGACAGTTTACTTTTCTGGTCTAGGGCACAAACAATGGACCACTTCACAAAGAAGGAAACCCTCTTCCAAAAATACAAGAAGTTGCGTAATGAGCAGTTGAGGCAACTTCATAGGCAGGGCAAGAAAAGGTTGAACTTAATTTATAAATATGATCTTTTAACTACAACTTTTCATCTACTTTCTGTCAGTGTACAGGACGTAAAGAGGAAAAAAGCAGGAGGACTATCAAAAGACTTAGACGAAAAACCCGTGTCCAATAAGGTCCGATTAAAAATGAATGCTAATCGCATTAGGACAATAAGGCGATGATGCAATAACCATGTAGCAAGTGCACTTCTGGATCAGACCTAGGGGATATATATTAGGATATATATATACGAGTATATGAAGAGGGGTTGGCAGATTACAAACTGCCAATCCACTTGCCACATGGCTTGCTCATTGTCCCGAGGGTTGCCCAAGCTGTTTCCCTTTTTGTGCTACTTTTTGTTTTACTTTTTTTCTTTTTTGTTCCACCATATCGTATCCATTGTCCCGAACACGTTTTTGGGTGTGAAACCTAATCCGCTTAGAGAACAAGTGAGCGATGAGTTGAGGGACAATGAACGATCCCGAAAACCGATCATGACGGATGACGACGACGACGACGATGACGAAGGCAGAATGCGACGAAGACAGAACTTTATTAAATGATAATTATAGCCGAGGAATGTACTAGGAAATAAACATGTATCAAAATAAATCGCCAATATCTTCAGTATCCTCGCTGGTCTCGTCCGTAACACTCATTTCCATATCGCCGAAATCCTCGACAATGACCCGGGGATCCGCAAAGAAGATTGCCTCCCAATCGGCGAAGATATTCTGGTTCATCTCGAGGGTCTTTCGTCTCACCTCTTCCTCGAAATCGCAGTGATCGGGACCGATATCCTGTGGGGCATTGTGCATGTTGATGCGGTAAATGATTTTCAAATTCAAAAACAAAAATGCCTAAAAATTTGTAAAATTAAAAATTTCGATCGTTCCGTTGGGTTATGTAAAATATCGGAGAACTTTAGACTGAAAGGGTTCTTGGTATGAGAAGGTTTTGTCAAAGGCAACTTGATGTGTTTTTATAGGCATTTTTTTTTAGATTTCTTAACTTTTTTTATAAGTATATAAATTCTGGGGAAAGTTAGTACTAAAAACCTCT